GAGAGTTTGCTTCTAAAACTGATGAAGGGCAAACAACTCACAAAGTGGCAAGAAAAAATTAAANGCTGGTTAACCTGGACCGTTACCACCTTTGGGAACTTAGAATTCCTGGGTCCTTACCCCATTCCAACCCAGGATCTCCTTCAGAACTTGGGCACTAGAGAGTTTGCTTCTAAAACTGATGAAGGGCAAATAACTCACAAAGTGGCAAGAAAAAATTAAAACCATATGCAAATGAACACATTTCTTGATTCTTGTGTTGAGAAGCTGTAATGACCTCAGGTAAAAAGAAACTAATTGCAAGCACTCACATATGAGCGACTAAATCACAAGAATGGCCACGGACTTAGTATAGTACGACCTTCCTTATTAACAAGGAGAGTATCACTATTGGCCAGTAGAATTTAGAGATAAATATGGAGTACAGGGGTTTACTCTCTTGCAAAATTATACAATTTCTTAGTGACAAAATGGAGACTGTAAAAAAAAACCTCCATGTTTGCCTCTTTCTTTTTAAGTGACAACTGGAACAGACCACTGTGATTTATTCGTGTACTTCTCCAGCTTCAACCCGCACTGCTGGCTTGCACTTTGTTTAGCGTATGCTGAAGCTATCCTCAAACCTTTTATTTTTGACACAGCTTTGTGGGTTTTTTAGATTTATAGAAAAATTGCAAAGAAACCAAGAGTTCTCATAGATTCTATACTCCATATCCCCTATTATTAACATCTTACATTAGTATGGTACATTGGTTACAATTAATGAATTAATACTAATACATCAATATCAATGAGTCCTAACTTTAAGCTTTCATGTAACGTCCTTTGTTTTGGGATCCCATCCAAGACGTGACGTTACACTGTCATGTCACCTTAGGCTCCTAGTGGCTGTAAGTCTCTCACTCTCCTTGTTTTGTGACCTTGACAGTGTGGAGGACAGGTAAGCTAGTTAGGAGGAGGCACCTCAGTAGGGATTCATCTGGTATTTTTCTCATTTAGACTGGGGTTATGAATTAGGAGAGGAAGATCCCACAGTTAATGTGCCATTTTCAGTATATCATATCAAGAGTACATACTAGCATCAACACAACTTTTCATGTTGACCCTGATCACCTGGCTCCGGTCATGTTTGTCAGGTGTCTCACTGTATAGTTTCTCTTCTTTTCTTCTATTCTGGACCCTGTGGAAGAAAGTCACTATGCACAGCCCATATGCAGAAGTGAGGAATTGTGTTCCACGAAAAATTCCTCTCTTCATTCCACTTGTTTATTCAGTCATTTGTATCATTTATTTTGTTGCTCAAATTGTTCCACCTTTGGCCAATAGGTGCTACTACTCATGCCTTCTTTGCTTCCCTTGGTTTCGAATGTTCCCTTGGTTTTCAGGATTTGGCTGAGATGTTACCTACTCCAAGGAAAAAAATTCCTGCAAACCACCCCTACTCCCAGCCCTTTCCCTCCTATCACTCTAGGTTATGTTTTTTCCTATGTACATCTAAAATTTGCATCAATTATGGTATTTATACACTGTATACTTATCCATCTTTCCCTCTGGATGATAAGCTTTTTGAGGATAGGGGTCATCTTATTTTATATGTCTAGTATGTATGTAGTACATAGTGTCTCACTTGCACAAAGCAGAAGCTTAACAAATATTTCTAGAATGATCACTATGGTTTCTCTTTAGTCCAAAAGTCCAGGAGTGCCTAAGATACTAACCAGAAGCCACACAGAAGTTGGTAACTAACTGCTCTGGGAGGAACTACAAGGTGCTACTATTGTGTTAGTCGGTCATGTAACATGACAGGCTCAGGATTTAAGTAATTTCATGTCTTAATTCAAGTAAGCCTGATATTTCCTGACTATTAATCTCAGTCACATTTGCATAATTACATTAAGAGCAATGACCAATTACCTTTATGTCTAGAACCAAAGAATAGGTAGCTTCTAGAATTGCTTACCTTAGAGGAGTGGCGTCCCCATAATAGCACATACACATTTTGGTTATGAGGGTCCCAAGTGACTTACTGCTAGTTGAGGATTACATAACCACTGGAGAAATAAATTTGCTAAATTGTATTCTTGTCAGAACTTATTATGAGAAAATGACTTTAAAATTAAACAAGACTAGCCCTAGCTGGTTTGGCTTGGTGGTTGGAGTGTTGGCCTGAACACTGAAGGGTCCCAAGTTTGATTCTGGCCAAGGGCACGTACCTTGGTTGCAGGCTCAATCCCTGGCCCTGGTTGGGGCGTGTGTGGGAGGCAACCAATCTATCTATGGTTCTCTCTCCCTTTCCCCCTTCTACTCTCTCTGAAAAGCAACGGAAAAAAATATCCTCGGGTAAGGATTAAGAAAAAATTTAAAAATTTATCAACTCTTTCAAGATAAAGGAATTAAGACCGGTAAACTAAGCTGAAACAGTTNAAAAATTTAAAAATTTATCAAGACTCTTTCAAGATAAAGGAATTAAGACCGGTAAACTAAGCTGAAACAGTTTTTAGGTTGGACCATGCTACCATCCTAGTCCAAGTCACCATTAACTCTTGACTGATCACTTTCCTAATTGTACTCTTGCGGCATCTATCCATTCACAAGAAATGAGATCATGTCGTTCCACTTAACCCTTCCTTTGAACTGCTTTTATAACAAAATCCAAATGCTCAACCAGCCCTAGAAGGCTCCATGTACCTAGTGGGTTCCTCTACCTCTTCAAACTCATCCCATACTTGTTTCTTCCTTGCCTATTAATGGCAGCCATGCTCATCTTTCTGAAGCTGTGGCTCAGTCCCATAAATTTTTTGATGTCCAGTAACGCCATCTTCTTACAAGAACTTTACAGAGTTCTTCAATCTTTAATGTTTCTTATGCATGTGTTGTGTGCCTGAGAACAAAGGCAACTTTGTCTAAGAAACCCTCTACCAATCTGCTTAAACAGAGATTAGACTGAAAAATGAAAACACAAATTCTTCTTGAGTTAAAAGGTTTGTGGGTTTTTTGGTGTTAAAAATGTACATTATCTTTAAGCATAAAACTGTTATGTTATTTTTTCCAAGAAATAGTAATATTAGTTTGATGTTGACATCCTACAAAGACTACCACAAATTTAAAAATAGTTTCTCACTATTTACAAGAAAAGGAGTTAAAACATTTTAAATAAAGTACTGCCTTCTTAAAATAATTCATTTAAAAACTGAGTCCCTCTGATAACTAAAGGTACCTTATTGCATCCATCCAAACACATGAAAATTAACACGACCCTACAATGTTGACACTTAAAGTAAAATATTTTTAAAAATCAGACCACATAAAATACCATAATAATCTGCTTCTATATAAACACATTCAAAGAGATATCAACTCTCTGCTTCTTGTTTTGATGATTTTCTGGACCTATCTGCCTAAGTAAAGTTCAATTTTTTTGACACTTTAATATTCCCTCTACACCTCTGCAAGAGGCTGTTCATTAATCTTGGAAACAAAGGTCAACTAACATTGTTCTGGCTGATGACAGGTATAACTTTTTAATGACAGTGACCTTTCTTCTCAGAACTCAGTCCAAAAGTATATCAGGTTCTCACCTCCCAGAAGTTAGTTAAGATATAACTGTGAGGCTGAAACTAAAAAAATTTCACCTAAGTTTAAAGTAAACTCATTGGATGGTAAAAACTGATCTGGCCCTGGCTGGGCGGCTCTCTTGGTTGGAACACTGTCTTGTACACCAAATGGTTGTGGGCTCTCTCTCTCTGGTGAGGGCGCATGTGGGAGGGCAACCGATTGATGTTTCCCCCCCACCCAAATAAATAAATAAATAAAATAAATAAATAAATAAATAAATAAATAAATAAATAAATAAAATTCAATGAAAACATATCCTTGGGTGAGGATTAAAAAAAAACCTGACCTGAATTGATGTAAGACTATTTTTAGCCCTGATTAATCCCCTGTCAGGTGAACGCTCATACATTTTGCTGCAGAATATTAACATGTTTAGGAGTAACGTATTTATTTTCCAGACCCTGTTGGAGGGTGTTACAAAACATGTATTGTTCATAGAGTATTCACACCGAGCTTCTCCAAGAGTCTATTTTCATAAAATATGTGGAGTTAATTCTGTTTATATCTTTTTCTAAAAAGCGTTCAGACTTTTAAAGTAGCTCAAACAGAAGGCTTCACGTTGCTTTTGCTTGACTTGCTACTCTACTAACTTCTTTAATTTTACAAATGGGAAACTATTTAGAAAATTAACTAGACAGTCTAAGAGATTATGTGGCTTGGACATTTGGGTAACAGGGCTTCAAATTCTTTTCTTCTTTGCCAGGGGCTGACAAACCACGGTCTACGGGCAAACCCAACCCTCCATCCGTTACACAGCCACACTTGCTTGTTTACATGCTGTCTGTGGCTGCTTTCCTGCTAAAAGGCAGAGTTGCGACACAAACCTTATGACCTGCAAAGCCGAAACTTTTACTATTTGGCTCTTTACAGAAAGTTTGCTGACCCCTGCACTGAGTCTACGTTCCGCCCAGGATGGTACTAATAGCTACGACTATGTGATAGCTATGATTTTATAAAATAAGTTGGTTTGCCTGCATTTAGGGCTTAGTATATATATGACACTTTAAAGGCAGAGCTCCCTTTCACAGATTGACATTCCCTTTCTGTTTGAATGTGGTCTCAATGAGTCAAAATTTTCAACCCTTGGTCAGAACCAGAGGGGCTGAGGAGTATAGTACTTGCTGATGATAGAAATCTGGTCAGAGAATGAAGAAAGGAATTCATAAGGTAAAGCTATTAATCTTCCCACCTACTGTAAACATTAAATTCACTGAAAGGAACCAATGTACTTTTATATTTACATTGATGTGCATAATTCCAAAGAGGCAGGGAAATACGGGCCTTAAAAATTACTCACTTGCACATTACTCTATGGCTCATGTGTGCTACTTCTTGAGAAGATTACCAACTTTTGCCACAACTGACAAAAACTTTCCCAGCTCAACTGTGGCTCAATAAACTTTTATTATTTTTGTTATTTATTTTTATTCAAAAGAATTTGTTTCCCTATCACAAAAATCAGATGCCCACACCACCAAGAGCAGCAAGTCCACAGAGCTACACCGATGGTGGAGAGTTCACTGGGTATCCCCACGTCCCAACAGGCACAAGGCAGGAGAAAGTAGGAGAAAACATACTCAGAACAGATCCAAAACCCACAACGACGCTGGGGACAGACTAAAGTGACAGTCTCTGTCTTCTCTCATTGTCAGCTGCAGATGTACTTCAGCAGGACCAAGTACAACTGAACTTGAGTAAACCCTTCATACCAACTCCAGCACCTAATTAAGGAGGAAAAGGATCAGTTTAATAAAAAGTTTTAAAATATAGAAAGAGTGTAATAAATCTTTACTACATTGTAAATGGAGAACTAAATCAGGAAAACTGTTCCTACTGCTAAAATGCGCAAGAATTTGAAGGAATCAGACATTAATCCTTTCTTACTTTCAATTCAACAGTTAGATGAATGCTTTGAGATTAGTTATCTCCATCATCAACTAGAAAGAAAGTGGCTGATGCGAAGCATGGATACTACATTTTTGGAATAGATACAGGGTAGGGCAAAAGTAGGTTTACAGTTGTGTCCACTTTTGAATAAATAAAAATACAAGAATAAATCTGAGTATGTGAAACAGAGAAGCATGGATACTACATTTTTGGAATAGATACAGGGTGGGGCAAAAGTAGGTTTACAGTTGTGTCCACTTTTGAATAAAAAAAAATACAAGAATAAATTTGAGTATGTGAAACAGAAAGTTTATTCTGGTGTTATTTATTAATTAAGTATTGTATTCAGAAGTGGATACAACTATAAACCTATTTTTGCCACACCCTGTATGTTGGTATCTTTCCACATTCTTAAGAAAATTTTAAGTATTTCTGTTCAGGATTTTAATCTATTCATTTCTTCCATTAATAAACAGTTTATAGTAATCAAGGTATACAGGACCTAATATCTTGCCTTTGCCTACTGCTTCACATATTTTCTAGTTAATCATATGGTGTCAAAATATTTTGTTAGTTATTAAGGTAGAAACTTATCATACAAGGTATGATATTGCTAAAATTAAAAATAACAAGAAGCAATGATCAGTTATAAAAAGAGTAGAAGAAATGGCCAAGAAAGAACATAGAACATGAGGAAAATTACAAGTTACTGTGAAAAAGAAATGTAAGATGGAGACTGCAATTCTAGGTGGAAAGAATTGAAGGAACAACTATGCCCCGTTCTGTTACTGCTAAGGCTTGACTTAGACCTCTGCTTCCATACTAGTTTTTGTCTTTATTGTTAGCAAGCAGGCTACTTAACATAGGAGGTCAATGCTGTTGAACAAAATCTTAGGTTTGCCACTAAGGCTTCATGCACACATGTGGTACGCTCAGCTTCTGTGCCTACCCTAGCAATCCCAACTGCCTCAAAGGCCACACTAGCAGAGGGATAGGTGCGGCTTTTTCAGTAAACGGCTTATCATGAGAATAAGATAAGGGGAGACTGAGAGACTACAAAGAGCCACTTAAAACAGATTCCAAGACCTTCTATCATCTTGCTGGAGGCTTCTAGAACATGACACTGATCAGTCAAAAGCCTGGCTTTCATTTAAGCTGTCCGTGGCTCTCTAAAGAGGCTTCCCAAGTAGAGAAACTAACTGCATGGAAAGGAGTAAACCAATCGATTAGTGTGACTGGCAAACGGCGCAGCTCTGCTTTGAGTTTGCTCCCTTCACCTGTAAGACAGGGTGTTAGGCTTGGATTTGCTCCCTTGGTTGCTAGGTCATTCCCCACTCAGGATGAGTGTAAGGAAGCCATGGCAAGATTCATGCTAAGTGGCAGGGGAAATAGATACATATTTAAGAAAATAAACAACTTCCTGATATCTTTATATTAGCAGAGAATATGTAGAAAGAATTGGTATTCACAGAATGTGCCGATCAAACCCCTGCACTAAAAACCTCCTCCAAAATAGTATTTTGTTTTAAAAGTTCACGGCTTAGCTCAGGATTTGTCCAATGTATAGTGCCCAAGTGCTAAATATCCAATGGTATAATTAGGTATAGTTTTTACTTCTGTAAGTTCCTAACTACAAAGAAAAGTAGGTGGCAAACTATGTATGGATTTGACACTGAGACTGTGTGCCCACAGACACTTAAGTTTCGGATTACACTAACGGCAAGATCACATTATTGATCAATTTTCAAAGGACTACTAAAATACCTTTTCTTCCCTCGGCAACTGAGGAAAAACCTACTTGTCAGGGAAGAGGGCATGAAGCATACAAGTAAGAGATTTTTGTAATCTGGCGACTGTCTAAGCATTCCAGCTCTAATCTGGCCCTTGTCCACAGGTGCCCTGAGGGGCAGTTGCACTGGCATAACAGAAGCTGAACAGCACCTGGCTGGCAGCAGATGCTAACAGCCTTGCCCTTGTTTCCTTCTCACCACTGATCAATCCACTCAGCATTCATATACCCCAACAAGTACTTTCACCTCCACAGCTGCAAGCTACTTATTCTTTCCCCTTCAATCAAAACCATGTCCAAGCAGAGACCCATGATTTGGAAATACCTCTAAGATTAGCACAACTCTGTATTTCCATGTCATGGGTACAGTCCGGTAATCTAAAAATGGAACTGAGTTGAAAATGGAGATGTATAAAATAAATAGCTTACCTTAATTGTGCCCTGACTGTTAGCAGCAATCAGCACATTGGACTCCTGGAAAAGAACAAGAACTTTTAAAGTACAGAGAAGGCCTTTCTGGAGGGCAGCCCCAGAGAGGAAGTTCCTCTTCATCTTTCTCTCTCCCCTTCATCCTATGACACCAACGAATCTAAAGTGGGAAACCAGCTAACATGTTTTTAACTACAAATTTTAAACACAAAATCCCATACTTTGAGGATTAAGTTTTTTGTTTTTTTTTAAAATATATCTTTATTGATTTCAGAGAGAGGAAAGGAGAGGGAGAGAGAGATAGAAACATCAATGATGAGAGAGTCATTGATCGAGCCCACACACTGGGCATGTGCCCTGACCGGGAATTGAACCCCGATCGCCTGGATCCTAGGTCAACGCTCAACCGCTGAGCCACCCCCGGCCGGGCGAGGATTAAGTTTTAATAAAAATAATAAAGTTAGAAGCAGAGTAGGAAACGTTCAAATGTAGAGAAAAGTAAAGGAGAAATAGATTACAATTAGAAGGAAAGTCAAGAGAAACAAAGGCTAGAATAAAACACCAATAAAAGTAACTTGAAAAACATAAAGTCCACACTCCTTTCCATAGAAAACTCCCCCTTTATTCATTTTCTCCCATTAAATACCAGTAATTGATGTAAATGCGGTCAATATCTCTGGCATAAATTTCTGGGGACAGCTGTTTGGTATAAGAAAACAAGTGTGAATCTTCATCTGGGGGAAGGAAGGTTATCTCTCTTTGTAATTATTCTATCCCTCAGTACATACATTTTTAATAACTTTGTTGATTACCTGAAATAAAATGTATGTGGTAACGTATTTTTATATTCTAAAAGCTTTAGGAAAAAACATTTCTCTGGCAAGTAGGAAGAGTGGGAAAAAAAATGGACAAGACTTAGTTTACCAGAGGAATCTCATTAAGTAGGAAGACTAGGATGTGTCCCCAGTTGGAAATGAGGAGTCTGGAGCTCTGGAGCTTGAATGTGTATAAAAGTCCTTTTGCTTTTCCGAGTAAGCAGCTAGAAGGAGGTAGACAGGCTCAAACTGCCACAGGGGCCACATGGCTAACAGAACGACCAAGTTTAAACAGCAGCCATGAGAAACAGATAAAGGGTCAAGCCTCAGTGAAGAATAGGGTCTGCCTGACTATCCTACAGGTTTCATGACAAAGTGATGCAGGCAAGAAAGAAAACTCTTGATTTGTATACTGGGAAAGTTCCTTCAGCTAATCTGAGTTAAACTTGCTTTCTTTGCTATAAGGAATTTGTGCTCTAAAAAAACCAAACAACTTCCATTTCTGGCCATGGCAGAGTAAGTGGAACAAATTTGCTCTCTTACCAGCTAGAAAATTAAACAAAATATATAAGACAACATTGGACAACAGCAGTGCAGGACTGTGATTCTTAGAAGGGAAACAAATGAGGTGAGTCCTATAACTGCCCTGGCTTTCTGCTTGGAGGCAATTTCTGGACCACATAGCAAACAAGGGGAATCCATATAGAGCATAGAGGAATCTAAGTAGAGCACAGGAGATAGAGACATGAGCTCAGGGTATCTGTAGGGCAGCTGGAATTTGTGTAGCAAAGTAGCACACATTGTCCTATCTCCTCCCTACACCCAACTTAAATTTTTTTCTATTAAGACCTAATCTTTTTTTTTTAGGCATCCAAAGGAACTTGTGTTCACAATTAGGGAATACATATTATAAGCTGCTCGTAGGGGTGGATGTTACAAATATTTAACAACAGGCATAGGCACCAGTCATAAAAACTAGTACAGGTATATCATTACATATCTGTCCCTGATTGTCCATGATATTAGCATATCCTTGGCCATAGAAGTAGTTACAGTTCCATCCAATATTTAAGTATAACAGTAAAGACATAGTAAATATCCATCATATGTAAATATCCATCAGAGTAAATATCCATCTAATGGAATTTAAAATTTATATAATGAGGATCAAAGTCTGAGGTTCCATAAAACCTCAAACAGCAAAGAACAATGTGAAACTGATGTATTGGTACAGTGTAAAAAACACCTGCCTTTATATTCAAATAAGTCGACTTTAATTAAAATCATCAGCTTTGATTTGTTATATATGAGGATCACTTGATTTCAATATTCATAGGTCTAGTTTGAGTAGAAGCCTGCGGTCACCTACACCTACATTTACTGGATTTTGTGCAGAAATTTTTAGGGGCATATATGATACTGCAGGAAAGGGTGAGGACACACATGCAGTTACATGGAAGAATACGGCAGCGAGCAGCCTCAGAAAGAATGTGGTAGCAAAGGGTTTAAGAACACGGACATCTCTTGGCCTTGGGTGAGACATCCTAGAAAGTGATAAAGAGCAGTGACAACATCTCTCAAGTACATTGGATACATATGTTCAGTCATAAGGCATTCTATTCCCTTGTGTTCATGATTTTTAGCTGGAGGTCATTTTAGTGAAGGGTCTTGAATCTAGATTTGAATTTATCATGCAAAGAAACAGAGTAAAAATAACACAAGTAGAAAATCTTAAAATGGTTCATTAAAATGAAGACTAGAGTAGACTAAGGACTTCTAAAGAGCCCAGAAATATAAGGCTAGTTATCCAACAACTGTCTGATGCAAAAACTGCTCAGAGTAAAAAATATGGGGTTTTCAGAACCACAAACAGGACTCTCACACCATCAGTTATAAATAAATTCACAGCTGTAGCTTGCTTATTAGCACACCCTGGTGCTACATGTCACACCTCAGTGTATTAGAAATGCCACTGCCGCTCCCTCCCCATCCCTACCCCATCTCACACCTACAGCAGAACACACTCCATGAAAAACTAAGATTTCAAATTTAGTACTAGAAGTTAATACTTAATAGCCAGCATTTTTCCCTGTAAATGGTCATTTCTGAATTTATTTCAGTAAAAAAATTACATAAATTGTATTTTGGAAAAAGCCCACTTTCTTAATGACAAGTCAATCCTTAATGAGAAAACCTTCATGAAAGCCACCTCTGATTAGCTCTAAAATACTGATTGACCTTTACTGATAACCCTGGGTTAGTTAAACTAATGTGGTCCCTCAGAAAAGTATTTCTATATTCATTCCACTTCCTGTCTGTAGCTTCCTGAAACAGACAAACAATACCTATTTTAAAAAACCATACGGTTCCTCAAAAACCAGTTAAGATGGATGCAGAAGTAACCTCACTTGGTAGTCCATTAATAATCCAATATACTGTGGAGGGAGGAAGAAGAGGGTAAAGGGGGAATAATGGAAGGAGACTTTACTTTGGGTGGTGAACACATGATACAATATAATGTATACAGATGCTATATTATAGAATGGTACACCTGGAAGCTGTATTATTTTATTAACCAAATGTCACCCTAAGAAGTTCAATAAAATTTTTTTAAAAATCCAGTACACTTAATCAGCAGAGATATTAAGCAAATGGCAAGGAAAGCAGCACACAGAATGCAGGTTTCAAAGGCTGTATGGAGGGGAACGATCAGACTTAGCCAGCTGTGCTAAGCCAGACAGAGNAGGTTTACAGTTGTGTCCACTTTTGAATAAAAAAAAATACAAGAATAAATTTGAGTATGTGAAACAGAAAGTTTATTCTGGTGTTATTTATTAATTAAGTATTGTATTCAGAAGTGGATACAACTATAAACCTATTTTTGCCACACCCTGTATGTTGGTATCTTTCCACATTCTTAAGAAAATTTTAAGTATTTCTGTTCAGGATTTTAATCTATTCATTTCTTCCATTAATAAACAGTTTATAGTAATCAAGGTATACAGGACCTAATATCTTGCCTTTGCCTACTGCTTCACATATTTTCTAGTTAATCATATGGTGTCAAAATATTTTGTTAGTTATTAAGGTAGAAACTTATCATACAAGGTATGATATTGCTAAAATTAAAAATAACAAGAAGCAATGATCAGTTATAAAAAGAGTAGAAGAAATGGCCAAGAAAGAACATAGAACATGAGGAAAATTACAAGTTACTGTGAAAAAGAAATGTAAGATGGAGACTGCAATTCTAGGTGGAAAGAATTGAAGGAACAACTATGCCCCGTTCTGTTACTGCTAAGGCTTGACTTAGACCTCTGCTTCCATACTAGTTTTTGTCTTTATTGTTAGCAAGCAGGCTACTTAACATAGGAGGTCAATGCTGTTGAACAAAATCTTAGGTTTGCCACTAAGGCTTCATGCACACATGTGGTACGCTCAGCTTCTGTGCCTACCCTAGCAATCCCAACTGCCTCAAAGGCCACACTAGCAGAGGGATAGGTGCGGCTTTTTCAGTAAACGGCTTATCATGAGAATAAGATAAGGGGAGACTGAGAGACTACAAAGAGCCACTTAAAACAGATTCCAAGACCTTCTATCATCTTGCTGGAGGCTTCTAGAACATGACACTGATCAGTCAAAAGCCTGGCTTTCATTTAAGCTGTCCGTGGCTCTCTAAAGAGGCTTCCCAAGTAGAGAAACTAACTGCATGGAAAGGAGTAAACCAATCGATTAGTCTGACTGGCAAACGGCGCAGCTCTGCTTTGAGTTTGCTCCCTTCACCTGTAAGACAGGGTGTTAGGCTTGGATTTGCTCCCTTGGTTGCTAGGTCATTCCCCACTCAGGATGAGTGTAAGGAAGCCATGGCAAGATTCATGCTAAGTGGCAGGGGAAATAGATACATATTTAAGAAAATAAACAACTTCCTGATATCTTTATATTAGCAGAGAATATGTAGAAAGAATTGGTATTCACAGAATGTGCCGATCAAACCCCTGCACTAAAAACCTCCTCCAAAATAGTATTTTGTTTTAAAAGTTCACGGCTTAGCTCAGGATTTGTCCAATGTATAGTGCCCAAGTGCTAAATATCCAATGGTATAATTAGGTATAGTTTTTACTTCTGTAAGTTCCTAACTACAAAGAAAAGTAGGTGGCAAACTATGTATGGATTTGACACTGAGACTGTGTGCCCACAGACACTTAAGTTTCGGATTACACTAACGGCAAG